TACAAAACACATGCACTGAAAAAATTAGCAAGTACACAGAACTTGCCCAGGAAATAAGGCATCTATGGAGGATGGATAGGGTAGTTATTGTACCTGTTGTTCTTTCCTGTACAGGTGTGATACCACACACACTACACAAAAGCCTGGGAACATTAGAATTGAGTAGAAATACATACATAACACTACAGAAGGCCACTATATTGAATACATGCCACATTGTTAGGAAATTCCTGAATACAGACACTGACACACTTATTTAATTTTAGTTTTGTTTTGGTTGCTATGCCTTGACTCTGATCCGGCATAGTACACAGCCACCGGTTTAAACCGAGTATTACCCACTAAATCCAACATAATAATAATAATAACAATTTACCATATTTACTTGCATATAAGACAAGGTTTTTGTTCATTTTTCACTGCTTCAAAAACCTAGGTTGTCCTAAACATGCGAGCAAAGGATTCTTTTCATTTTTGCAATAATTTTTGTAAGCTATGTGTTTGCATTTTGGATTCTCATCTTCTGGTGTTTATAAACAAAAGTATTTTAACTGGATCATTTGATTCGTTCTCATGTATTGTCAGGAGTAAAGATGAATAGCAATAGGAAAAGCAAAGCTTTTCAATTTGAATTTCAGATTGAAACTTCAAAATCACACGGGAGCGTGATATAAGTTTTAATTCATTCCCATGTGAAAACAGATGATTATTTGGAAATCAGAATTTGAACAAACTCATAAGTGTAATCGATGAAGAGTGAATTCAATTGTTAAGAATTGGCAGAAAAGGTTCCCAATTGTCCAGCTTTACATGAACAAATTATGTTGTAGATTTTATAAGATTTTTCCTTGAAGTTTAAAATACCAGTAATTTTTGCAGGACAATGTGTGCATTTACATGCATTTGATATTTTATTTGTGATTAAATGAAATAAAATTAGAATTTTATTAATAAATCTAATTTTCATTGTTTTGATCTTTAAAGTCACACCTCATCCTATATGCTAGTAAATATGGTACCACAAAAGACCAGACATCACACTCATTGACAAACACAATAAAATCACATATATTATAGACAAATCCATTCCAAACACTCACAATGTACAAAACACATGCACTGAAAAAAATCAGCAAATAAGACATCTGTGGAGGATGGATAGGGTTCTAATTGTATCTGTCATTCTCTTCTCTACAGGTGTCATACCACACACACTACACAAAAGCCTGGGAACATTACAATTGAATAGAAACACATACATCACACTACAGAAGGCCACTATATTGAATACATGTCATATTGTTAGGAAATTCCTGAATACAGACACACACGCTGACACAGTTATTTAATTTTTGTCTTGTTATGGTTGCTATGTCTTGACTTTGATCTGGCATAGTATACAGCAACCAGTGTCAACTGAGTATAACCCACTAAATCTGTAATAATAATTATTGCTGTTGAAACTATTAGATGACTTGAATGACTGTTGATCACCATTGTTCTCTCATTTTGAAACATTTTCACTTACTTGCAATTTTTCTTTAACTGAATTTTTCTTCATATTATATTAACATTTTTCTGAAACTGAACACATTTCACTCCTTCTTATGAAAATCTGAACTCAGCACATTCTTCACTAGCAATGCAAATGAAAAATAAAATCAATCAAGATTTTACTCAACTTTTGTAATCAACTTAAATCAGATTGAATCTATTCTAACTTGCATAACATAAAAATAGCATAGCCTTTGCAATCATTTTCTGATATAGTTATTTTACACATAAATTGTCTTTATTTTTTTATTTAACTTTATACGTTTTTGTTATATGGTTATATTATTACATTTTTATGATTTATTATATTATAGGTACTTGCCACTGATATGTCTAAACATATGAGTCTACTAGCAGATCTTAAAACAATGGTAGAAACTAAAAAAGTAGCAGGATCAGGTGTATTGCTTTTAGATAATTATACTGAAAGGATTCAGGTTAGATACTTCAATTTTTTTTTTTAAATTTGAAATAATTGTTTTGGATTTAATTAACTAATGACCTAAAGCCAAATTATTTAAGACTCTGTGGTAATTATTAAATAATCTAATTATGTAACGTGGCTTGCAGTTATAGTTGATAATCTAGCTTTAGGTCTTTAGTTAATTGAATAACAGACTATATGATTTGTTTTTATATTTGGATTTAGTTACAATAATTTTTAATTACATAAACATTAATATGTTATCTTAAATATATAAATTGAACAACAGTCCAATTTTCATTAATATTACATATATAACTTTGAGAATTTAATTNTACATTCACATAAAGTTAAATATTTTTAGAAACTTGTCAAAATTCATCAACAAAATCAAAATTAACATTTTGTGTGTAAAGAGAGATTTGCAATATTTTCTCTTATTAGAACTAGGGCTGTGGAATCAGTAAACAAAACCTCTGACTCCAACTCTTCAGTTTTTAAATCTTCAACTCTAACTTCTTCATCAAAGCCCAATGCTTTAATAATAGTAAACATACTAAAATGGTAAATAATATCTTAAACATTTTGTCACCACCATGTAAATCTTCAGGCTACTTTTTAGATTTATAACCTATATTTATAAATAGTATGTAATGGAATAGTTGAACATTAAACATATTTTAAAAATACTTTTTAAATTATATTTTTCATTAATATTACATATATAACTTTGAGAATTTAATTTTTATTATGTTGTAAAAGCTTGGTATTAACTGTTGATTAACAGTTTTACTTTCCTGGCTGTTATAGAATATAGCAGGAAAAGTATGGTGATTAATCAACCCCCTTTTTTTGCATTTCTCAATGTTTTAATGCTCTAGGAGCCGAAAAATGTAAAAAAAAAACCCTTACGAAATTGTGTTTTTATTTTGCATTGTATCTCAGGACTGAATGAATCAAAAGTTTTAAAACTTAACAATTTTATTTCTCTGTATGTGTCATTGATGCTATTAAATTTAGGTAATTAATTAAAATTCAAGGAGTTGGAGAGATAGAAGGGGATCATATGTCCTATCTTAAATGAGGTCAAACTTAATGAAAGTTTTAATCCCTATTAGCATTTATAATTGGGCTGCAATTTGAAAAATTGCCCACTGTTGTCCTGATGTGACAATATTGTCACATCAGGACAACATTTGTCTGTGTTTTCCTTAATCTCGAAAATGGTGTTGGACAGGTGAAAGTTGAGACTAGATATGGAAAGTTTAGGGGTAGGATGCCCTGATTAACTATACACAAATTTCAGGTCTAGACCAAAAGTTACATAATTTTAATTCAAAAATTTTTTTCAGAATGGAGTAACATGGATGACTAGCATGACACTGTTGTTTTCAGGAAAAGTATGATGTACAGGAGTAAGATACTACTAATTTGAGATTGAGAGCATATATTTTAAATTAAATTTATTAAATAAATTTTATTCAAATATAATATGAAATACTTTAGCTTTTTATGTTCTTTATCTTCTTTGTATTACATGCGTTTTAAAAATTAATACTGAACAAGTTAAATGTGTTAATAATAAGAAACAATGTATTGTTTTGTTAGTTTCTTATGTTATGAATCAATGAATGGTGTCAATAACTTATTTTTATAGTTTCTATAAAATAAAAATTTAATAATAAAATATTTTCAAGATAAAAACAAATCTTTGGTAAGAGCATAATGTAAATCTTTTGGAACTATTGACTTGATATTGCTATGTAAATACTATAATTGTTTTATGTAATATTAATATATTAATTGGAGAAGAGAGGCTAAATTAAAATTAACATTTTAGTTATGCAGAGAAAATTGAATTGTTGGTCAAATCTTTTAGAGACAATATCTTCTTGGGCCAAAAAAATTTATTTTAATTATTTCCATTCTAGATTTATTCTGAATCTAATACCAAATAAAATATTTTGATTCTCTTTTGAAAAGTACTTTTAATTTTAAAATCATGTGTTTTCATATATATTATTTTTGCATAAAATTCAAATGTAATTAAAATTGTATATACTGTTTATGTAATTACATGATAAAGTAACAAGCTATGAAAATAATAATATTAGTAAACATCACACATATAACCAATATCCAGCAAGAAATTTCAAGAAAGCAGACATTTTCAACTGTTTTTAATGGACATCATAAAATGTATGAAGACATTTGCTTTCTTATTAGTTATATGTGCAGTATTTATTTACATATAACCAGTTTTTATTACAGTAATTCAATTTATAGTAGTATTAGTAATTTATTACTTGTTTAAATCATAATATTTTATGAATAATTAACAACAATTATTCAAAAAATTGAATATATAAAATTTATAAGCAAAACATGTCTTTCAAGATGTGAAATATTAAGTAAGAAGTTAATTTTAAAAATAAAGTTAAAAAATATTTATTTGTGTTATAGACTGAAATTATATTAAATGTATTTTTCAAATATATTTCAGGTTTTACAAAATATGTTACATTGTGCTGATCTTAGTAATCCTACTAAACCTCTGAAATTATATCAAAAATGGGTTGATTTGATAATGGAGGAATTCTTCCAACAAGGAGATAAAGAAAGAGAAGAAGGAATGGACATCAGTCCCATGTGTGATAGAAATACTGCAACTGTTGAAANTTTTTTTCAGAATGGAGTAACATGGATGACTAGCATGACACTGTTGTTTTCAGGAAAAGTATGATGTACAGGAGTAAGATACTACTAATTTGAGATTGAGAGCATATATTTTAAATTAAATTTATTAAAAATATGATTAAAAATTGCAGCCTGACATTGTGATGATGCCATAATAATTTTTCCTCATTTCTTTTAAAAACTCATTTCTACCCGAAAATAAGCCTTTTTTTTCTTTTATATAATAATTAATTAATGATATGAGATATTAAAAAATAATTTTTATAACAAACAAATGATGCTATACATAACTTTGTAAATTGTAAGTGCCAGAAAAGTCATGCAAGAGCTCTTGCCAGTTTTTTTGAAGCTTCTTTGTTTCTTCAGATTGTTGTTTCTTATTATATTCATTCTTTTCTAATTAGAACATTAAATAAAAATTTTTTCAGCTAAAGCAGATTTCTGGATCAGTGGCTATATCATGTTTAAGCTTATATGCATCTTAATTTGATGATGTTGATGTTATGACATATTTCTAACTTAAATATAATTTTATAATATAATCAAAATGGGTTAATAATAATAATACAGTAGAGCATGAATTATCCGAATCAATTGGGGACTAGGGTTGTTCAGAAAATCGATTTTTCGGATAACCGATTATGTACGAAAAAATATATTAACCTATTCCATTTTGAAATTTGTTCAAATCCTGTCACGTCCTTAAATAGCCTCTCATGGTCGTGCCAGTGCTGCCAGCTAAAACATGCACACCAACAAAAATAATAATGGAGTAGCCCAAGACATAGCCAAAGATTTCAGTGCCACAGCACTAGCAAAAATTTAAATTTGCTGGCTGGAAAACTTTCAGTTAATTGACTTTTCAGTTGATCGACATTTAGATAATCAATGCTCTACTGTGATGATGATGATGATGATGATGATAAGCGCAGACCCCAAACAGTTAGGAGTTGAAAGATGAAATTTGGTACACAGTTAGGGTACATCATGAGAAAATACACTAAGAAGGGATTTTTTTCAAAATTCCCCAGTGGGGGAGGAAAGGGTTATGGCTTACCCTGAAAAATTTGGCTTCAACTGTATTATTTAAATTGGATTTTGCATTTTTGCAGGAAATTGAACATATTTTTAGACTCATCTAAAAATTCATCTAATTAGTCTTGGAAGAGGGGGGACCCAATCCTTGGGTAAGATCAGCTATAATCTAATAATCTTAATCTTTGCTATTGTTACTTTTTTCCAAGCAATGTCAGGCTCATCTGTTAGTTTAATATAATTTTAATGGCATAATTACCTCTGAATAGAAGTTTGTGGTAATTTGAAATAACATCTGAAGAGAAAGCAAAGAAATAGCAACACTCTTAATTAAAAGTTAATATTTGACTCTCCTGTAACATTGTATGATCAATGGCCAAAGCAGTTAAAGCATCACTCTATTGCTCTGGAGACCTAGGAACAACATAATTTTTCACAGATAATCTGTCCTGGATATAAGAGTACAGTATATCCCTTACTACATTGCTGCTCCTATTGTGAGCCTGGCTGATGAGAAAGAAATCCCTTTTAGGGCCCTTAGAGCAAAAAGCGTTAAAAATGGTAGAACACTCCTGTAACATAAGATTGAAAATTTTGAGGTTTTTTGGAACTGGAACTAAGATGTTGTGAAATGGCCAAATTTAGCATTTGAGATTAATATGTAAATTATAATTATTATTTAAATTTTAAAACTATATAAAAAGTTATACATTCTTTAAATCTGATCTATATCTTTAATTATCTTATATAAAGTATTTTTAAATTTACTTACCTTTCATAATTGGGAGCTTATTATAAATGAATATTCTAACAGCAAATCAGAATATTTTGACGTATGATTTACATTCTTTAAAAAAATTTTTAACCTCAGAATTCAGTTTTTATATTATAAATCATTTTTATCATATAGTATATTAAAGTATTTCTTTAAATTTTAAATATGTACTTAAATATCGAATAAATACATCAGTGAATGTCTTATATCTAAAACTTTAATGTCATTTATATAAATGAATAACGTTCCGAATTTTTTATATACTTATTTTTTTATTTAGATGTGATGCAATACATTGATATATTACTTCACAATTTTTAATGCTTTTAATATTTAAATTTTGTAAGCAATTCTGATATGAAATTGTTTATAAATATTCTAATTATTGGGATTAAACATTCATTTTAATTTGTTTAAATTGAAATTTTATTTTCAAAACATTTCTAAAGTTTTATTAAATGATAGTTCTTTGATACAGGATGTTTTCTTATAAATTAAACATTTAC